GGGTCCATCTGGGTCCATCTGGGTCCATCTGGGTCCATCTGGGTCCCAACAGAGACTCAGGTCAGCCCCATCGCCTCTGTCTGCAGGAAGTTGGCCAAGAAGAGGAAGGAAACACTGAGCTCCAGACAGGAAATGACTCTGATGGTGAACAGCTCCCAACACACAGCCATGGTGGACACACACACTCTGAACGGCCACAGTGAGTCCACACACACACACACACACACACTGTCTAACTGGCATAATAAATCTGACTAAAAGCCAGGTGGACAGATGGGGACATGAGACATGTTCATCTCATCATGTGGGTGGAGTCATTATGTGGGTGGAGTCATTATGTGGGTGGAGTCATTATGTGGGTGGAGTCATGTGGGTGGAGTCATGGCGTTGATAAATTCTGCTCTGTCTCTGCAGCCATGTCGTCTCCATCTTCTTTCACCCTGAAGACAAACACCATCAGCACCTCCGTCCCCAACTCCTACTACCCAGGTAACCTTAACAGCAAGATATATGGTCAGTGAATGCATCACACTGACAGTGAATGCATCACACTGACAGTGAATGCATCACACTGACAGACGGCAGCACAGAGTCGTCTTTAGGTCCAGATTTATGAATCATTCGGTGTAAATGATGAACTTTCAGCTGAATTTACTGAAATTCCTCGGTGTTTCAGCTGCCAGCCACACCCACAACGCTCAGTCGCGCTGTGGTCCACTGACTCGTCTCTTTGTCCTGTCTTTCTCTCTGTCTGTCTGCTGCTCTTGTGTCCTGATGGCAGACCCATTCGTACCAACAGCCATCTTGGGTGAGACTCTCTTCCTTGTTTTCTCTGCAGGAGGTTAGCGTTCAGGTTTACTGGTAGACAGACCAGAGGAAGACAGGCAGACAGACAGACAGGAAGTGGACTGGCAGGTGAAGGGAGAGGACGGACAGAAAGAGAGACAGGGATTCTCTGGCTTCCATCCATTCCTGCTTGCTTGTTCAGCTGCTTTTGTTTTGTTTTTATTCTCTTTATTTGATTTTAGTGACCAGTTCTGCCATCTTTACTGTTTTATCTCCAACAGTTTTGCTTTTATTCTTGAACTTGAATGAAGTTCCTTCATGTTTTTCTTTGGTTGAAAAGACTCAGTTTGCTTCGTCTTGTTTTATTTGAAATTTAGAATAATTGTTCTGGTTCCTTGGTTTTCACCCTGTTTTCTTGTTTTGTGACTAAAACTATGGTGGGCTTCACTCCATCCCCACATCCACAACATTCCTGCGTGTCGTGTTGATGTCACGTCTGTTTGTGACCTTCAACCTTTGCATGGACACAACACGCTCTGGTGGACTTTGGGAGTGGGAATAACACAGGAGCTTTTTTACTTCCTCATCTTCAGCGTAAAATCTGAATGAACTGAGAATAATAATGGAGCGCTCACTAACCTGTGATATTTTCTAGCAAATGTCAACAGTTGGTTTGAGTTTGGATCAGTGTTTCTGTTTGACTTGTCTGATTTAAAGAACCTCTAGTTACCACAGGAGCCTGTCAGTAGTTGGACCTATGGGTTCATAGCTTCAGTCCAGGACACAGAGCGATAGTTTGAACAGAAACCATGCCTTTAACTGTCCACCATGACCGCGCTGTGTTTAATCAGATGGAGCTCCCATCGGCCCCAGCTGAACATGCCAAACACCTACAGGACATCCAGAGTCCTCCCAGCCTGTTGACTCATTAGTTGACCCCCTTCATGGAAACATTGCTGGCATTGCACCCCGATCACCATCCAGGACCCCAAACTGAAGCTTTCAGCATGCGATCTTCCACGGTCTTTCATGCTCCAGCTGAGGAACCTCCTGCATTGCAGACACTCCAGAAACCACCAAGCGCTGATTCTAGTGCCCCATAAGGGTCTTTGTCCAGTGTGAAGGGGTCCTCCAGCATCCTGGAAGTCCTGTGATCAGTTTCATCCAGACAATAACAATCTTCTGATGGACAACGTTCAAAGACATTTCCTCCTATTTCCTGTTGAAAGCAAGATATATTTCCTTTTGTGCCTTTGGCCTAACATACTCCGCTCTGACCTAAAATAGCCCCAATATGCCTCAGCTAAAATTTAGGATACGTCAGTGGACAGACAGGCAATAGAAACTTTGCTTAGCTAGTTAGAGGAGCAGGAATCCGAGGACAAACTGGGTGGTTCAGGATATTAGCCAGGTTAGCTAGGTTGGTCATGTTACTTAGGTTAGCAAAATCAGCTAGATTGGCTAGGTTAGTCAGGTCAGCAAGGTTAGCTAGGTTAGCTAGATCAGGGTTAGCTATTCTCTGGTAGAAGGGTCCGGGGTTCAGCAGAGCTCCTACAGTGTTTGGTACTAGCTGTGTTAGCAGCTAGCTAAAAGCTAAAGTTGTTGCTCATCTCGTGTCTCCTCTCTTCTTCTCTTCTTTCCGTCTCTGTGTAAAGTGCCCATTAATGGTAAGTGGTTAAATTTGGGGCTGACTAGGGGGGGGGCTCGTGTTTGGGGGGTGTCACCACTTTGCATGGAGCCACACCCATTACCTGCTGTGATGTCATCATTAGTATGGCAGAGCTTCATTTGTACCCTCTGTCATGATGTCACAACCCAAGCCCCTCCCATCATCCTGTATTTAACCAATCAGCTCATTTGATGTCTTATGATTGGTTGTTTCATCCATCCAATCACCAGCCACCACTGCCATCGCCTCGTCCATCTTCCTCACCTTGACTGGTTGGACTGTTCAGGTAGAGAGCTTCTGATTGGTCAGTTAGCCCCCAGGCTAGCCAATAAGAACAGCTAGAGAGCGTAGTGGAAGTTGTGTCCGCCGTGTCTTTGCTGAAACGTTCCTGCCAGAGTTCTGGACGGGTTTAGCTCTGATGTCCACTTCACGACCAAGGTTTGTTCTTTTCCAGGACTCTGAACTCTGCTCTGTTCACACTGCCACTCCAAGAACCCAAACTGTTCTGGTCCCATTCACACAGGCAGAACCAGGCTGTTCTGGACTTGTCCAGTTTTACTCTTTGTACCGGACCGTGCTGGATCTGGACTGGATGTAGACCAGTACCCTTACTGGGACTAAAGCTGGGATCTTTGGCCGCAGTGTGGAAAGAGTCCATCATCATCCTCTGTCCAGACATGTAATGTGATGTCATTCATCTGTGTTGTCATGGTGACAGTCTTGTAGGAGTGGATGTGGACCAGAACTTTTCCTTGGTTCTGGACAGACTCAGTGCGGACCGGTTTCTCTAAATGAAGCTTGACTCACTCGCTCCAGACTTTGACTAGACCACATTTGACTCTCTAATCAGACCAATTTACATGTGGAAGGTTTCCTCACAGAACCAAGGAGCTTGACAGAGCAGAGGGAAAGGGAACCGCAGCAGGTGGAGATGGAGCAGATGATGAAGTTCTGGTTCCAATAGAACCGAGTCGACCTGACCCAGATGTGGGAAAATGGCCTAAATTGGTTTGGGAATAAAACAATTTCAAAAACTCAGGGCTTCAGTCACAACCACGAAGGAGAATAGTTTGAAGCTTCTTGGTTATTGACAAGGTTATTGGAGGAACTCTGTGGTCCAGGAGGAGCATCGTTTGAACAGGAGCTACGGGGATTGGGATTAGGGATTAAGGAAGGGCTCTCTGTAGGCAGGGGCTGGGATCAGATTCTGACTATCTGGGAAACTCAGAAGAGGTCGGTGCAGATGAGCCAGCTTCTGGACCACCTGGGGGGTTTGATGGTCTGGTCCCAAGCCGTGAAGTGATCAGGAGGTACAGAGAGGTGATGCTCGGGGTGATCCACTCTGGATTGAAACCTGGAGGTCCTCCAGGACCAGCAGGACGGGTTGTTGGTGCTGGAAGTGAAGTTCTGAGGTATTCCTCTGAAGAGGACATGTGGTTTGTGTCTCCTGAAGGAAAGTCCAGTCAGTAGAGATGTCTTCTCAGGAGCGGATGGACCTCTAGAGGGTTCTCCTGGTTCTGTGGGGAACGGCCTTCATCAGTGTTACCCAGTCAGAGTCTGTCCAAAACAAAGCTTCAGCATCAGATTTTGTGTCTCAGATCATCTTCAGAACCCGGCCTTCAGACCGAACCGGATCTGGTCCAGCTGGATCATTAGAAATGAACAGATTCTGGTTCTATCTGGATCAGCCTGGTCCAGTCCATCACATGTCCACACTGACCTGCTGTCTGATCCGTCCGTCTTCTGTTCCTCTGCAGACGACAGCAGCCACACCATGACCAGTGAAACCAGCAGCCTGGTCCAGTCCCACTACAAGCAGCGGGAGGCGGAGCGGGAGGCGCTGCCCTACCAGACGGGTCAGCTGCACCCGGCCATCCGGGTCGCTGACCTGCTGCAGCACATCACCCAGATGAAGTGTGCCGAGGGCTATGGGTTCAAGGAGGAGTACGAGGTGAGAACACGACTGTCTGACCCAGCTGACATCAAACGGATCAGAACCGGTGGGGCTCTGCTCGGCCCTGGTGGAATGGTTCCTAGACCGAGTCAGAACTGAAACCTTCTCCGATCCTCCAGGGTTACCATCACTCCTGGTAGAACTAAAACTAAAAGTTTCTGTAAAGGAGGCTGAGGCGAGGCATCAGCAGGGGAACCAGAACCGCCCAGGGAGTCTAACGCACTGGCCCAGTTTCACACCCTGCCATCATGCATCCATTGCTCAGGTCTGCTTCAGTTCTGATCCGGCCCATTCTTACTCCTCTGGCTTCCCTGGCTGCGTGCTGCAGCCACATTGTGTGAGTCCAACGAGTCCAGTTCTGGTTCTGGTCTGAACAAATTAGGTTCTCTCTGTCCAAGTACTTCAGCAGTGGAGTGTGGTGCAGCCAGTTTCTGCCAGTCCCAGACAGAGATTTCTCTGGTTGTCTGATCCGATCAACGATCAATGATATCGATCCGTCAACCAGTCCAAGAACCAATCAGAGTCCTCCCTGAATGATCTGATCATCTGCTGAGAGGAAGTACATCAGTGATGATTAGTCTGGAGGTTCTGGAGGTTCTGAAGGAGGTGCAGTAAAAACTGAAACCACAGAAAATCCTTCCAATAATGTCCTCTACAAGCTGCAGGTTGGAGCTTCTCGAAATCTGTGTGTGTTTGTGTTTGTGTGTATGTGTGTATGTGTGTGTTTGTCCATTTTAACAGGAGAAACTTACTAATGGATGTTACTTACCTGAACACACACACACTCACAGACATACATTATAGATCTTCCCTGCAGCTAATGGGCCCAAACAGGGAATGGCTCCAGTGTGTGTGTGTGTGTGTGTGTGTGTGTGTGTGTGTGTGTGTGTGTGTGTGCGTGTGTGTGTGTGTGTGTGTGTGTGTGTGTGCGTGCGTGCGTGTGTGCGTGTGTGTGAGCAGTGTGCTTGCGGGCTGCCCTCAGGGCTGATCCATTATACATACTGAATACACACTCAGAGTTTTCACTCTCCATTTGCAGAAAGTTATCAGCGAGGAGTTCTGTTCTGGTTCTACTCTGGTTCTGTTCTGTTCTGGCCCGGTCTCTAGCCGGAATGGCTCCCAGTTCACATCTCTCCACATTACCAGAGAGCTTTTAGATTTTTTTTCATATACCGTATTTTCCGGACTATAAGCCGCTACTTTCTTCCTAAACTTTGAACCTTGCAGCTTATATGTGGATTTTTCTTCAACCACCAGGGGACTGTTTAGCAGGAAGTGAATCATTGGAAGTCAAAATTGGAAATAAAAGAAGAAATTGCCCATTAAAACGGAATTAGGTTTTAATAGGGAATTGAAATTTGAGAATGTTGTTGATCAGTTAAATAGCATTGAGGGGAAAAAGAAGATTTTTAATTTTTTTAAATACTGGGATCATTATGAGAATTTGAGGCATAGATATTAGGATCCAGTAGATGGCAGTAGTGCAACAATAATTGATGCAAGCTGCCGTTGAAATCTAAAGAAGAAGAAGAAGAAGAAAGTGCGCATTTTCATTTAGCACATGCTAGTAGCAGACACGAAGGATCAGCACTTTTACTGTTACGGTTACCGTTCGGAAAATACCGTAATCAGTTCAGTTAAATCTAAACTTGGCACCTTTTTCTTTTTCAACTGTAATAAAGGTGATATTCAGTTGACCTGTTATGACTCAGATGTTGGGTGTCTCTGCTGCTGCTGCATCGCTGTGGAAAACCTGGAGCAGCAGAGAAATCTGCAGCTTATAGTCCAGAAAATACGGTATTTATTTCATTAATAGTATTATTTATTTCCTGACTTTTGTTCTGTGAAGAACCCAGAGAGAGTTATTTTATTGTCCCTTCTGGAAAACAATACATTTTTACATTTAGGCTCCTGCAGTCGTCACTTTTTCTGTTACAAACTGACTCGGCCCCCAGCAGAGAAGGGAAAAGTTATGTGGCCCTCACAGGAAAAAGTTTGGGGACCCCTGAGACCCTCAGGGTTAGGGTTAGGGTCGAGAACCCCTGAGACCCTCAGGGGTTCTCAACCCCTCTGATGGAGACATCTTGTGACCGGCCGGGTGTCTCAGTCACAGAAATGAAACATAAACATGTCAGGATCTGCCTTTTCACCCAGATTTTCAGATCCATCTTGTGAAGTGAGTGATGATTTGTTGATCATTTGTTGATGAGGTGAGGTGAGATGGGCCCCCAGTCGCCCCACTCATGACTCTTGTCTCCCTGGTCCCTCCATGCTTTTCTAATTAATCTGATTGGACAGCTCAACGAGGTAAGACGCCTTCCTAGTTTTCTGTGTTTCTGTCGTAGATTCGGGTTTAGCTAGCACCTTTGTTAGCACTCTGCTAGGCTAGCTCCACCCAGGCCCAGTTTGTTTATCTGCATTACATTACACACCAGTCTCCAGGGCAAACCTGAAACACGTCTGCACCCATCAGGATCTCTGTCTGATTCAGGGGATGTTCCTGGAAGACATGGGGTTAGGGTTAGTGCTGGTAGCATGGGTGTTAATGGGGGGGAAACCAGCACCACACCCACTGGTCAGCACCTCTGTACCAGCATTGAACTGGGTTCTTTTGCAGACTAGTGACAGAACTGGAAAGAGTTGATTTACAGGGCGGCCAGCAGAGAGCATCTGGCTTCCAGTAGCTGAGGGGTGTTATGGGTACCCTGTAAGTGAAGGCTATAGCTCTAGAGTTCCAGACTGTGAGAACGTTCCTGCATGCTTTCCTCTTTGTGTCTCTCCCCATTTCCTGTCTGATGACTGCCAGTAAAGGAAACCCAGTGCTGGCTATCCCCATGCTGGAACCATTGGGTCGTTGAGGAACCCCCAAACATCCAATTGACCCGTGTTGGAAACAGTCCAACATCCAAAGATCTCACAGGGACTGGGCATCCTCACTGATGCACTGGTTCTAACACCTATTCACTGGGATATCCGTCTCCTCCACCTGCCCTCATGCAGACCCCGTCCTCCCCACGGCCCCTGACCCCTGACCCCTGTGTGCCTCCATCAGTGCTGCTAATGCTTATCCTCTGTGCATGTTGATCGTCAGATGTCAGATGCTCCACTAGCTGCTTGAAGAGAGTATCACTCCACTACTGATGCCCCCTAGTGGACAGTTTGTGAATCTGATCATTTCCATCCCATCACTGGTCTGCATGAGGTCCCAGTTACATCCTACTGGGAGTTGAACTGGTTCTGTCAGTGTCCAGTGGGGGCTGGATCCAGCTGACCTCTGGAGCCAGACGACTGGACTGGGTGTCAGATTGTCTGTTTATTCTTATTTTCACAGAAACTTTGGGTTTTTGGGTGTGAGGGTGACAGCTGTGCTCCCAGCCGGCTGGATGCTCAGAAGGTCTGATGAATACGGAGACTTCTAGATGACTCTAGTTCTGTTTCCACCACCAGGAGAACCTCCTGCTCCAGGACTCGGTTCAGTAGGAAGTTTCAGCAGCGCCACCACTGGCGCCACTCCAGTCCTCTCCTCACCCAGGTCCTCCTAGTCCTGTCCAGCCAGGGGCCCTGTTGGCCCCTGACCAACAGGGCGCCCACAAAATATATNAGAAAACATTTTTTATTAAAGTTATGTACTGCAGCTTGAATAAATGCAGCTACATAGCATTTTTTGAGAAGTTTGTATTGCTTTATGTGTGTTTTGCTTGTTGCTATTGGGGAGAGACATTTCAGCAAGTAATAAAAATATTAAGCAACCTATTTGCATACTGTATGTGGACTGTTGCATGTAAAATGTAAATACTGTGTTAGAACCAGTATTGGACCAAAGACAGCGAGGCCATTGCAGGCCTTTAAAATTGTGGTGCTTTCAATGGGTCAGACAGATTCGAGATATTTTAACAGCAGCTGGTCTGGGGGCCCAATTTAATGTTTTGTAATGGGGACCAAGATTCCTGGCGGCTCCCCTGGTTGCCACGGTTACATTGGTTGACTAGATCAGGGGTCACCAACTCCAGCCCTCCAGTCCTACCATCCTGCAACTTTTAGATTCACCTCTGCTCCAAAATGTCTGAATCCCTCACCAGCATTCATTCCTCTCTGCAATAGGCTGGAAACGAGCAGCTTATTTGATCCAGATGTGTTTGAACAGAGACAGCACTAAACCACAACATCCAAAGCATAAATACAGTTATATACACAGTACTGCTGCTAACTTTCAAATGAATATAAATGTTTTCAGAAAGTCCCAGATTTCCTCACTAACTGGCAGCACAGAGTCCAGGATTTTATTGTCCAGCTGTTTGAGGGGAAGATGTCAGAGTGCAGTTTGTCTTCAACGCAGAAGAGATGAATAGTGATTTGTGTGTCCGTGTGGTGAGTTGGAGCGCAGACCGTCATCATCCTACCAGACCGGGATGGGGAGATTGGCAGGTTCTTCTGGATCCCAGACGGATTTCAGAAACCCTGAAAGCTTCAGTTCACTTCAGACAAACTTCATGCCTCCAAGCTGAGCTGGTTCAGATATAAACCATATTTGTATTGTGAGTCTTAACATACATAAAGATCATAGATGGATGAACTGGTTGGTTGGGAGTTCAGCCTGCAGCAGCTTTGTCTCCAGCTGCCTCCTCACACCTGATGGGGAAATCTGGAACAGGCCTGAAGGACCAACCAGACATCGTGATTGGCCGTCATTCTAACCAATGGTCCGCCACCTGTTCTTGCTCTGGTAATGCATCCAGAGCAGTACGGTGGGCTGCTGGGCAGATTTTACCCTGTGTCACACCACAAATTGTTCCAAGGTGCTGGAGTTAAACTCAAGTGCTGCATGATGTCGTAGGATTCAGAACCAGAACATCTCCAGGCTTACCATTGAGTCCACACCAGTCCAAAAGGAGGAGAACCTTCTTCTTTGGTTGTAGGAACTGACAGAAATGGAAACTTTAGTCTCCAGTGTTGCTCAGAACACTCTGAGATGTTCTGGCCCATTTAGGCATCATCTTGGTGAGCCTCAGAACCACCAAAGACACAACTGGACCTCACAGAACCACTGTTAACACCAAGGTCCACTTTAGAAAACAACTGGGTTCTTGCAAGGTTCTGGTTGTAACCAGAAACC